TTGTTGCAGTTCAACTGGGGCCAGGTTTGAACCCACCATCCTCACTATATGGAGCCGGCACCCTACTCACTGAGCCACAGGTGCCACCCTGGTTATTTGTTATTAAAGAGTTGAAAAATTTGAGAAGCAAAGACCACCAATCCTTTGAGTATACTTTGCAAATAAACTCAGATGAAAAGGCATACATACCCTACAAAATCTTATATTTCCAGGAGTATACTGACTTGATAGATGCATCTGCATGGTAATTTCAGGAAGGGTGCTATGGTTTGAATATGTCCCCCAAAACCAGGTGTTGGAAACTTAATCCCCAAAGTAACAGTATTGGGAAGGGAGGCCTAATGAGAGGTGATTAGGCCTTGAGGGCAGAGAGAATGGATTAATTCCAGGATTGCAAAAGTGGGCAATTATCCCAGGAGTGGGTTCCTTATTAAAGGACCAGTTTAGCCCCTTCTTTCTCTCTCTCTCTCTCTCACCCCTCTTTCCCTCTCGCTGTCCACCACAGGATACCACAGCAGGAAGGTCCTCACCAGGTGCTAGCACCTTGATATTGGACTTCCCAGCTTCAGAACTGTGAGAAATAAATTTGTTTCTTTATGCATTATCCAGTCTCTGATATTCTGTTGTAGCAGGACAAAATGGACAAAGACACAGGGAAATTGCATAACATATGGTTACAGCTCAGACAGACCAGAGCTTCTAAAACATGAAGCCCTGATTAACAGTTGCTCTAAAACATTTAGGTTTCTTTTATTGAGATGTTGCATATAGCCAATGGAAGTAGGGATCTTGCTCATCTCATAGAACAAGCAAATTACTAAGAAGAAAAATGATGAAAATTTTTTTTTAGAAAACTAAAGGTTAGAAATAGTGATATGTGATGCTCTTTGGATATTATGAAATGAGAACAAAGTTCAGCTTTTTAAAGACTAAACTTCAGAATTGCAATTATACAACATGTGTTTGGCACTGCAATCTAGTAAGTGATTAAGATCAAACTCTGGGCCGGGCGAGGTGGCTCACATCTGTAATCCTAGCACTCTGGGAGCCTGAGGTGGGTGGATTGCTTGAGCTCAGGAGTTCCAGACCAGCCTGAGCAAGAGCAAGACTCCATGTCTACTAAAAACAGAAAATCTAGCTGGGCATAGTGGCGCATGCCTATAGTCACAGCTACTCAGGAAGCTGAGGCAAAAGAGGATTGCTTAAACCCAAGAGTTTGAGGTGGCTGTGAGCTATGATGATACCATGGCATTCTAGCCAGGGTGACAAAGCAAGACTCTGTCTCAAAAACCAAAAAGAAACAGATTCTGGAGTCAAAGCTTTGGATTCAACTCCTAATCCTGTCATTTACTAACTCTGTGACATTGGGTGAACTATAAAACTTTCTCTGCCTCAGTGTCTCATCTGTAAAATGGGGATATTGACTGACCAAAGCTACTTTATAGGGATGTTCTGAGGATTAAATAAGTCAAGTGCTTAGAATACTGTCTCTAGGAAATACAAGTTTAGCCCAGCCCAAAATTACACTACTCTAGAAGCAGCCAGAATTGAGGGGTAAAGGGCTCAACCCTCCTCCTTAGGACAACTCTGATAGGCTATCAAGCTTTAGAGCTGCCTAGGGAAAAAACTGAGACTTTGTAACAACTGCATGACATTTTAATCTCTCAGTATGCCCAGTCTTACTTTTTCTTCTGTTCCCCAATAGGCCCTATTTCCAAGAGGACATCCCAGCAAACTTTTTGGCTGCAAAGATTTATCCTGTCTCTTTCCCAAAGAACTTTTTTTTTTTTTTTGAGACAGAGCCTCAAGCTATCCCCCTGGGTAGAGTGCCATGGCATCACACTCACAGCAACCTCCAACTCCTGGGCTCAAGCGAGTCTCCTGCCTAAGCCTCCCAAGTAGCTGGGACCACAGGCGCCCGCCACAACGCCTGGCCATTTTTTTGGTTGCAGCCATCATTGTTGTTTGGCGGGCCCGGGCTGGGGATTCGAACCCACCACCTTAGGTGTATGTGGCTGGCGCCTTAGCCGCTTGAGCCACAGGCGCCAAGCCCAAAGAACTTTTTTTTAATGACAGCTGAAGGCTACCAGGGAACTTGACATAGGAAATTGAAGCATCTATAGTCTTACTATGTGCCTGGCACTATACTAGGTGCTGGGATTCTACAGTAAAAAATAGAAAAAAATAATTGTAGGCTAGGCAGAGTGGCTCATGCCTATAATCCCAGCACTTTGGAAGGCAGAGGTGAGAAGATCACTGGAGTCCCAGGATTTTGAGACCAACCTGACCAAGAGCAAGACCTCATCTCTATAAAATAGTAGAAAAGTTAGCTGGGCATGGTGGCTCATGTCTGTAGTCCCAGCTACTTAGGAGGCTGAGGCAGGAGGCTCTTTGAAGCCCAGGAGTTTGCGGTTACTATAAGCTATAATGACTGCACTGTGCTGTAGCCCAGGGACAGAACAAGATCCTGTCTCAAAAAAAAAAAAAAAAAAAAGACAAACACACACAAAGCTGCACGTAATTAATGTACATAATTTAGTGAACTTGGAGAAATGTATATGATGTATCATTACCATGATCCAGGTAATAACCATATTCATTGCTTCTAAACTTTTCCTAGAAGACACTGATGTTTAAGTTGTGGCCTAAAAATAAGAAAGAACTAGCCAAATGAAGAACTTGGGGAAAGCCTTCCAATCAGAAGAAATAGCCTGTTTGGATCCTGGGCTGGGAAAGAGGTTGGCATGTTCTAAGAACAGTCCAAAGCCAGTGTGGCCAGTAGCACAAGAGTGAGTTTAGCAAGAGTGCAGGAGCAGATCACCTGGGCCTGTGAGGCCAGACTAAGACATCTAGGCTTTATTCCAGGTCCAGTGAAAACCACTGAAGGTTTTTTGTTGTTGTTTGTTTGTTTGTTTGTTTGTTTTGTAGAGACAGAGTCTCACTTTATCACCCTCAGTAGAGTGCCATGACGTCACACAGCTCACAGTAACCTCCAACTCCTAGGCTTAGGCGATTCTCTTGCCTCAGCCTCCCAAATAGCTGGGACTACAGGTGCCCACCATAACATTGGCCATTTTTTGTTGTTGTTGTTGCAGTTTGGCCAGGGCTGGGTTCAAACCCGCCACTCTCAGTATATGGGACCAGCGCCCTACCCACTGAGCCACAGATGCCGCTCCCCACTGAAGGTTTTTAACCAAAGCAATTATATAGTCTAATTTTTTGTTTTTAGTTTGGCTTTCACAAGATCCATTGCTGGTTTTTTCTGGCCAGGGGCTAGGTTTGAACCCTCCACCTACAGTATATGGGGCAGGCGCCCTACCCCTTTGAGCGACAGGCGCCGCCCATCCATTGCTGTTTAAAGAATGGGTTAGAGGAAGGCAAAAGTAGAGCCAAGGAGAACAGTTAGAAGTCTATTGTCCTATTTTAATCAAGAAATGTTGGTGCTTTGGATTAGAGCTATGGTAAGGGTGAAAATGAAGAGAAGAAAATATATTCCTAGCAGGGCATGGTGGCTCACGTCTGTAATCCCAGCACTCTGGGAAGTTGAGGCAGGTGGATTGCTTGAGCTGACGAGTTTAAGACCCGCCTGAGCAAAAGTCAGACTCCGTCTCTACTAAAAATACAAAAACTGAGGCAAGAGGTTCTCTTGAGCCCAAGAGTTTGAAGTTGCTGTGAGCTATGACACTACAGCACTCTACTCAGGGCAATGGCTTGAGACTCTGTCTCAAAAAAAACAAAAGAAGAAAAAGAAAATGTATTTCTGATGTATCTTAGAGATAAAACTAATAGTACCAATCATTACACAGTAAATGGACAGCTGATCCCAGAGTTTGTGCTGGGAAAGAGCCAGAAAGTAGAATTTAACTAGAAAGACTTTCTGTACAGTGACTGACTGCATGTAAGGTAAATTGGCTTAACCTGGACTCTGCATTAAATGTGCTATTCAAATTAATATATTGAAAAATCACCATCTGATTCCCTTTCTCACTGTCAAGCACAATATTATCAAGCTCATTAGAAACTCCGACAGTGAAGGAGACTGTACAGATGTGAGACATGATGAGGAAAACCAGCTTCCCTAGGTGGGAAATAATGTCTGGTCCTGTAGGTCACCAGTGCTGTTGTGTGTACTTTGCAGCTGTTCAATATTCCTTAATAATTTTGAGGTAACCCTATCTTCTACTCAGCACCCCCATTTTACAGATGAGGAAATTGAGGCATACCAGGCTAGTAAATGGCTGGGTCTATCTTTGAACTCAATCCATTTCTAGAATCTATGCTCTTAGCCACTAGACTCTACTGCTAGAAACTGTTCCGAAAGCAAAGTCTTTGTCATCAACTTTGTCTCATCTAATTCTATTCACATACTCAAACTATTCCTAGTGTAAATTCTCAGACCAACTATTCTGTGCATTTACTATTCAACATACATAACCAATGGGTCCTTAAACTGAGAGAAGCCATTTTAGCCAATACATTATAAACTCAATTAACAACAGAGAATCCATTTACTCACTTTAGCTGCTATTTGGATTTCCTCAGATATGAACACTTCTTCAATCTGGACTGCTTCTCTGGGAAAATATCCGAAGTCCTTTCCTTTCTATCAGAATGAAGAACAAAGATTATCAAGGAAGAGTGATCAAAGCAGTAATGACTCTTGAGCCTAATTTTGCCCTCTGTCTTTGGTTTTTATCCATCCCAAATCACAAACTTATTGACTATCAGCAGCCATCTAAAATAAAGTGAGAGAAATCATATTCTTCTGTTATTCAAAAGAACAGCATTAACTTGAGGGAACAATGAGCCAAACTATAAAACTGTCTCAAACTTGAGAAGAAAAACCATTCCACCTACTCATTTCCTTCCTTTTACTTTTTCCTTGTTGAGGTGGACCACAGATTGCACCAAGTGAACTAGAATATCAAAAGACAAGACCGTGGCAGCAGTAGCCAGGCTAGACGGAGCTGTGGCATAGTCAGTGGCTTCAGGACATTAAAATCAGAGAAGAGGTTTAAACTCTAAAATGTGGGTTCATCAAGATAGTAAAGGTCCACGAGACATCTAGGGAGGTTTGGTTCCACTCTACTTTTCTAGGGCTCATTGGTAGCAAACATCCTCGTAACCCAGTGAAAGCACTTGCAAGATGTCTCTCCCAAGAGTGAAGACTTCCTATCACCACTCTCAACCCACTTCCTGTCACTTTCAAAGTTTTTTGTCATAGTCTCAAACTCCTGGGTTCCAGTGATCCTCCCGCCTCAACTTCCCAAGTAGCTGAGACTACAGGTACACACCACTATACCCACTAATTTTTTTAATTTTTTTGTAGAGACAAGGGTTTCCCTGCATTGCCTAGAATGGTATCAAACTCCAGGCTTCAAGTGATCCTTCCACCTTGGCCCCCCAGAGTGCTGGGATTACAGGCATGAGCCACCACCCACGGCCCCATGTCAAAATTTAAAGAACATAGCTAATAAAGAACATAGCTCAGCGCCTGTGGCTCAAATGGCTGGGGTG